GTTGATACGCAGGTCAGTTCCCTCGTGGTACTGCAATGCAATGATTTTACTTATACGATTTCCCCTGAAGAATTCACAACGTTAAGTGAAAAATCCCACAAAATGAATAAAACAAATATTTGCCTACAGTACTTTTAAGACAATATATAAATAGCATCATCTTAAAAATTACTTTGTTTAGATGTCTCGAATCATTATACAATAATAAGTGTAGTATGCTCTGCAGGATCAATCAGGTAGAAACATGGTGAGAAAATATTATCATGCAAAAAAAATTAAGACCCAATAATCCAAAACTGGAGATAGGGTAGTGGTAAAAGACTGTTTGTGATTAGAGGCGGGTGTCCATCGGTGTATCACAGGGATCAGTGCTGGGCCCTTTATTGTGTGTTTAAGTGATATAGTTGAGAATGTGGAAGGGATGATAAATAAGTTTGCAGATGACTCAGAGGTTGGCCACTTGGTTAAAAGCGAAGGAAAACTGCTTGTCTAGCATCCAGTTCTGATTGGGTTACACCTTTCTCTAGTTAAATATTGGGAAGGCCAAAGCATTTATTTGATTTAGATTTCGATTTAAACTTTATCACCACACGTACTCTAGTACAAAAAGTACAGGAGCATAGTGAAAAGTGTATGCTGCCACACACAGTGCCATATTAGATACAAGTACCTAGGTACAAAATCTTAAGAACAGAGTAGAAAGAAATAAAGAAGAAAGTTAAAAGATAAACATGATTGTTCTTGGTATTAAGTAGAAAAATAAAGAAAATAAAGCTAAAAGTTCAAACATTACAGTCTAAGTACTTCGCCAAATTGGAACCACACTTCCTACAAGGGCTCGATCTCTACCCTTTGGCACATGTTGCCCAGGCTGCCTCAATCTCCACTGCTCTTGACATCTTGGGCTGCCTGCTGTCGATAACGCTGCAGACGTCAGGCAACCTCCATTCCCGTTTAGGGCTTTCTCCTGGGATCTCAGGCCACTGAAGTCCCGATCCAAGCCTCCAGCCACTGCCACACACTGGACCAATAAAGCATCAATCCACACGCCGTCTGCTCCGGGCCTTGCCTTCGGTCTGCACCCTGGGCTTTGGGAACTCATCACCTCTAACCGACCGCCAAATTCTTCAATGAATGGACAGGCCACAAGCCATTGCCTTGCACTGGGCCTCCAGGGAAAATAGCCTCAGCCTATTCAGCTTGTCCCTATAGTTCAAACTCTCCAAACCTGACAACATCCTTTTAAATCTTTTCTGAACCCTTTCGAGTTTCACAACATCCTTCCTATAGCAGGGAGACCAGGATTGCACACAGTATTCTAAAAGTGGCCTAACCCTCCAAATCATTTATATATATTACAAACAACAGGGGTCCCAGCACAGATCCCTGCAGAACACCACTGATTACACAGATCTCCAATCTGAAAAACATCCGTCCACCACTACTCGGTCTTCTATGGCCAAGCCAGTTCTGCATCATCTTACCAGTACATCACAGATCCCATGTGACTTCATCTTTTGTAACAGCCTGTCATGACAGACATTGTCAAAGGTCTTGTTAAAGTCCATTGTTATGGACCAGACCAAACCCCCTCAAAATATATTAAGAAGGTAGCCTAGACGCTAACTTTTTCTTATTTGAAAAAGTAAATGCAAGGTATGGCAATCCAGATGCAATTCAATTGGTCAAGCTACTTGATGTTAAGCAAAAGACAATTTATTCATACGCTATAGTTAAAATACAACAAAAGAAAATATAAAAGAATTGGCTTAGCTGTAACTCTATCAAAATGCTTAACAAAACAATAGATACAGTAAATATTACTAATTAATTAGTAACTTCACATAAACATACCCTCGGCAAAGGCAAAGTCAATAATATAGAATGTTTCACATGCAATTCAAGCAGCCCAGGAAGAAAAACATCAAGAGAAAACTCAAGAGTGCGGCAGGGAGAGGTTTTTTTTTCTTTATTTGTTCATGGGTTGTGGGTGTTGCTGGCGAGGCAGCATTTATTGCCCATCCCTAATTGCCCAGAGGGCAGCTAAGAGCCAACCACATTGCTGTGGGTCTGGAGTCACATGTAGGACTGACCAGGTAAGGATGGCAGTTTCCTTCCCTAAAGGACATTATTGAACCAGATGCGTTTTTCCCGACAATCAACAATGGATTTATGATCATCCCTACACTCTTAATTCCAGATATTTACTGAATTCAAATTCCACCATCTGCCATGGTGAAATTTGAACCTGGGTCCCCAGAATGTTATCTGGCTCTCTGGATTAACAGTCCAGTGATAGTACCACTAGGCCATCACCTCCCCTAGATGTACCGCTGCTTCTAAACCCTGCTGAGACCCCAGCAATAACTACTGCTGAAAACCTAAATCTAAAAATCCTGGTTTGATGGGAGCTTGACCATACCCATTCAGACTGCTTCTATCGTTCCAACTTTCAAAACAACCCCAAGCCCTGACAAGCGGTTTACTTTACTGGCTTTACAAGTAGATAGCTTGACACCTCGGTCTTAACACTTCTCTTTAAATAAAAAGGACAAAATGCACATCTTAAAGCCACAGTATCATTACACCATCTACTGCTCTGCCCTCAATCACCTTTGTCACTTTCTCAAAAAAAAACTAATTCAAAATTGAGACACACAACCTTCCCTGGACAAAGCTATGCTGCCCATCATCAGTCGGTCCATATTTTTCCAAATGTGAGTAAATTCTATCCTTAAGAATCTTCTCTAATAATTTCCGTACCACTGACATAAGGCCCACCGGCCTGTAATTTTCCAGATTATCCCTGTTGCCCTTCTTAAACAAAGGAACAATATTGGCTATTCTCCATTCCTCTAGGACCTGTATCGTGACTAAAGGGGATAGTGACTGGAACAAAGTCAGCCAGGTGGACCTTTAGATATGAGTTCCCTGATTGGGGCTGCTAACCTGGTCCAATCAGGGAGTTCTAGCTGACAGAGATAAGTGGGACTGTCCAGGAGTTGGCTGGCAGCCAGCTTGGTCAGTGTCATGTACTATGCACGTGTAAATAAAGAGTAACTTAATGCTGGGATATCGGCCTTCATGGAGTTGTTTCAGGTACAAAGCTTTCATACAAAGTGCCAGGAATTTCCCTACCTCCCTCAGCATTCTGGGATAAATCTTAACAGGCCATAGAAGTCCTGGGGATTTGTCTACCTTGATGCTTTTCAAAACACCCAACACCACCTTTTATATTGAGATACCCTAGAATATCAATATATCCCTCCCGAGACTCACCATTCACCATGTCCGTCCTCATTGTGAATACCAATGCAAAGTATTTGTTGAGGACCTCACCCACTTCCTCCAGCTCCATGCATAAATTCCCTCTTTTGTCAGTGAGTGGACCTACTCATTCCCTAACTACCCTCTTGCTCTTTATAAATGCATAAGACACCTTAATCCCGTTTGCCAAAAACATTGCATGGCCTTTCTTAGCTCTCCTAATTCCTTGTTCGAGTTCTTTTCTATCCTTTTATTCTTCAAGGGTTCTCTGTCTTCCATTTCCTTAACTTTATGTATGCCTTTTTCTTTTCGACTAAGCTTTCAATTTCTCTTGTCATCCAAGTTTCTTGAATCTTGCTATCCTCATCCTTCATTGTCACAGGAACATGCCAGTCCTTAACTCTAATCAAAAGGCCTTTAAAAGATTTCCATATGCCAGATGTGGATTTAGCCTCAAAGTGCTGCCTCCAATCGACATTCCCCAGTTCCAGCCTAAAACTGTGGTAGTTTGCCTTCCCCACATTTAATACGTTCATTTGACAGCTACTCTTATTCTTATCCACATGTAACTTAAACCTTACAGAATTATGGTCACTGTTCCCAAAATGGCCTCCCACCAAAACTTCAATCACCTGGGCAGTATCATTCCCCAATACCAGGTTTAGTATGGCCCCTACTTACATGTTTTAAAAAAAAACTGTCCTGGACATAGCTATCAAGTTCCATTGCACATCTGAGCCCCTGGCACTATGTGATTCCCAGTCAATCCAGGGGAAATTAAAATCACCCATAGACCCGAAACGTCAGCTTTCCTGCTCAGCCTGCTGTGTTCATCCAGCTGTACACCTGGTTATCTCTATAACCGTATTGTTTTTACATTTTTCCATAATCTTTACATATCTGTTTCTCTATCACCAGCTGGCTGTCGCGAGGTATGTAGTATTAACCCAAAGTGATGGCACCCTTCCTGCTCCTGAGCTTTACCCATGCAGCCTTGCTGGATGAGCACTCCAAAGGTGTCCTCCCCCAGTATAGCTGTGATTCTCACTTATCAGTAACATAATACTCTCACCTGTTTTACATCCTCTCTATCTCATCTGGAAAACATCTAAATCCCAGAATGTCAAGCTACCAGTCTTGTCCGTCTCTCAACCAAGAGTAGGTGATACATTCAGGAATGGGAGCAGAAAGCTGCTTTAAAAGGAGAACATCTCATTGAGAGGCTCATGGCAGGAAATCAGGAAGAGTAGAGAATTAATGGAACCAAGAACTGGATGTTGAGAGAGGGAGAGGGATAGAGAGAGAGAGAGAGAGAGAGAGAGAGAGAGGCGCCTTCAGGGAAGGAAAATTACACATCTCTGCCTAGTTTAGTTGAAGCTGACATTACTAGACACGTTGTAAAACTGCAGATCTTCTGACTCACAACAAACAGAACATGTATATATATATATATACTTTGTAAGGTCTGCATGCTTACATGAAAACACACAAAGCAGAGTAAGGATAGGTTTCACCTCATAAAACAATTCATGGCACAGGAATAAAAGGATAGACAATACATGAGATTTCACATACACTTTTATTGATGTGTTACACTACAATGACAATGATGAATGACAAATACTGCATTGTAAAATGTTAAAAAAAGTCTATACACATTCCTATTTTCAAAAATGTGAAACAAATTATTTTTGAATATTTGATAATAAATAAAAATCATATTGAACTAAACGTTTAAGGCATCATCTACTTGCAAATCAAATCAATGCAAAAGATAGATGAGTTTTCAAAAAGCTTGGGAAACAAACTAAGTAGTCTTCCTCTAAACAGAGTTTTTGAAGCAAATGTAAACAGACAATGGCCACCATATGTGGGATTCATAGCTTCCACTTGTGATGCTTAATCACAAAACACCCTTAAAAGAAAGTACAGAACCAGGAGTGCTCAATCATGTAAAATACATTGAATGTAACAATCACCACTGGGTTCAAATTTAATCCCCTCCCCTTTTTTCAAGCTAGACATGTGTCCAAGTCATGGTTGGATAGCTAAGAGGAGGAAGCAAGGAACCAATGGGATCACCCTCCAACACAGAAAACAAGCTTTCAAGTAAAATCATGTACTTGGGTAGCTAATTCTTGAGGATAAAATATTAAAATTAATCGAAAATTCAGGATCAGAGCTAATTGTACAATAAAGAATCCTGAGATCTTTCTCAATGCAAATTGCAATAATTCTTCACAAACATTCAGCTCAATGTCTAAATAATTACATTAAATTGAATATTTTCTGTATTACATGAGTTAATACAAAAGTAAAAAAAAATTCACAAATGCTGAAGCTAAAATCTCAGGTCAGTTTGCATAGACAATTGCAGTCCAAGATTCTAAGCTGAAGCACACTGCAAAATAAAAAAAACTGTTAACACTTTTAAATCTGGCCTTATTTGTTTTGTTTAAAATATAGTAATCACAGTCATTTTTAGTTTCATGGAAGAGTTAAAACAGTCTGTCCGGACAACTTTCACATTTTGGTGCGAAAGTATTTTTTCATATTGGACTTTTTAAATGATCATTCTCAACATGATAATGACTGCTCAATGGATGAGGGATAGATAATCAAAAGAAAACTGCAAATGTTGAAAATGTGAAATAAAAACAAAAGATCCGGACAATGTACAAAACATCCATCAATGCCTGAACAGAAAATGATAACACAATATTTCGACTGTAGATTATTGGCACTTGAAGGATCTTTACCTGAAACAGAAAACTTATTCTCTTTCAGATTCTCGTACATTGTTGGGCATTGACAATCATTAGACTGAAAATTTATTGCGGAGGTCATCTGAAATTTGATATTACTTCATCTTATATTTGTAAACAACTTATGGCACAATAATTTAAATATGCTGTCTATAACAAATCATTGACATCTGTAATACAGTCATAGATTAAAAATATTAAATAGTGCTTAAATATTTAATGTACTTGTTTCACTGTGGTATACTTTTGTTTTGACATTGATGTCGTATTGCAAGAGGATCACAAACATTATACTATGAAACAGCAATCTGACTCCAATATCCATTAAAATAAACCTATGACAGCTCCAAATCTCCCTCCTCAGTACCCTGAAAATATTTTGCTTTTATTTTAATGCATGCTTCCATCTTTCTCACATAAAGAAGAATCTAGATAATGTGCCCAGATATCCAAGCACTTAAAGCTTCAGAGTTTACACACATATTTCTTTTTCAATTGTGAATTTGAATTGAATATGTTAATGACTTGAATATTACAATATTGGTAATTCATTTACATAAAGAAAAATCAGTGGCCAGAAAGTAAATAGTTTCTTTCAATCCTTTTTGTCTAATTTTCAGTTTAAGGGTCCATGTCCTAAACCTATAATTGTGCAATGTATTGCCATCAAAACTTAGATAATAAATGATGCAACAATAAAAGCAAGAGATTTAGAAAACACAATAAAATGGTGTGGATGCCAGCTACAACTCAACATTGAGTAATGTTAAGCAATACATTTTTAGAAAACAGAAATACTGATAATAGAATTTTGAATGAGCAAGATTTAGGTGTATGAATACAAAATACTTTAAGTGTGGAAATGCATAAAACATTATTAACAGCACAACCAGAATTTTGGATATTACACATTTGGAAACTGAATATAAAGACAAGGAGTCAATTTTAAGTTTGAACTAAACAATTATGGTTTGCACTTATATAATGCATTAAATTTCAGAAAACAGCGCTCCCAAGGTGCTTCAGAGAAAGATTAAAAATGATAGCAAGTGACAGGAGATATTTTGACCACAGGCTTGGTCAAAAAGTTGGACTTTATGGAGATCTTAGAGGAGAGGAAAATGGTGAAATAGAGGTGGTTAAGAATAAAATTCCAGCTTATTGGCCTAGGCAGCTATAGATAGTGACCCCAGTAGTGGTGTCAAAAGGGAAAGGGGCAAAATGCATAGGCACAAATGGAAGAGACTTTGTGTTTGTACAGCTAACAGAGGTTTTAAAAAATGGGAGGAGCTAGGCTAATGCAGGATTAAAGATAAGGAAGAGAATTTAAAATTGGATGCACTGCATGATCAAGTTAGGCCAGCAACCATAGGAGAGATGGGAAACTGTAGATAACTAGAATTAGCCATGATCATATCGAATGGAAGAGTAGACTCGAAGAGCCAAATGACATATTCTTGTTCCTAGTCTTGATTATAGGTTATTGATAGCTAAGATTTGGTTGAGTTGAAATTTTTACAAAGTGAAAACTATTGTAATGGTCAAGGTTGGCTGCAATAAAGTCATGAGAGTTTCACTGGTAGATGGGCTGAAGTGGTTGGATAGGGAGGGTGATGTTATGAAGATGTAACCAGACATTTTTTTGTGATGGAGTACAAGGGGTCAGATGTTCAGCTTGAAGTTCAATAGGGTAGGGGAAGCGGAATTTATCTTAAAACCTGGCTGACAGGTCTTGAACGCCCGACCTCAATTTCTGACGGATCCTACTTTTGCTAGAAGGGGAAAGAGGGTGGGACATAATCGACACAAGGGAAAGCTGAATTCAGCAGGGTCATCTTAACTCAGTTCCAACTTCAAACAGACCCCATTATGACCATAGCAAAGGTCTTAACCGACAGTATGGAGTTATGAATTTTTAGATTGAACAGAAATGCTCTTGAAGGGGAGAGAAGGTCTCTAGAAATTTTCAAGCAGTGAAGCTATTTAAATCCCCAGTCCTTTAACAATAAAACAAATAGCTTTCCTGTGTCAGTGAAAGGTGAAAAAAATAAACTCTGTTCCAGCAGTTAGAACAGATATTGTTGACATTACCCTCAGGGCTCTTTATTAAAGCTGGACTACTTCCCAAGAATCTATAATAATCTCAACGGGGGAACTTGAGCTAACTTCAGTTTAATGAAAACACAAAGTAGTTAATAAAGGATTATCATATTGGAGTATGGAACGGAGTTTGTTTGTGTTTGTAAAGGATTAGCACTTGAAAGGATGCAAACATTATGAATGGACTTTCATGAATGGGAGATTTTCTTATTATATGGGGAGCTGCAATAGATATTTAGACTTTTTTTGGAACATGGGTCTTGAGTAGTGGTCATGGTGGACATTGGGTAAGTTTGCATGGAGTTTGACAGTATCAAGGGCAGTGGGTGGGTTAGCATTAATTGGTATTAAGATGGCATTACAGGCATGAGAGGTCATTTGAGGGTAGGTGGAGGACATGAGTTGGCACAGATGGGACATGTGAATTGGATAGGTGAGGTCTGGATGGCTTAAAACATAAGCAATTCAGTGAGTTTCCCCCGAAGCAACTGTGGTGAGCTGAGAAATTTCCAAAAGTGTACTATCTATCTTGGGCACAAAGATCCAAACTAGCCATTGTTAGAAAAATGCTGATTTGGCTTGGAACCTTATCTAGAAAGGCGGTGGAATCAGAGTTAAGTGTGTGGATTAGCGACAGGGTCAAAGACAACGGTTTTAGTCTCTCCAGTGTTTAGCTAGAAGAAATTGTGTCTCAATGATGACTGGATTAGATAAGCCTTCTGCTAACACAACGGGGATTCATGTTATTTAAGTAAAGCAAAGATGAGGAAAACTGGCAATAGTAAGACCATGATTTGATGATTGGCTATTGTTTGAAGATTTATTACAGGAATTAAATGTAAAAATATTTGAATACTACAATAAAAAGGTAAGGGAATTATTAGAGGATTTTAGTATTAAAAGTTTTCTGAGAAATATGGTTATCAAGATGGTGAGGCGGCATGGATAAAAGTTAGCTATAATGCAGAGGGTGCAGCAGTTAATTTATTTTTATGAATAAGATATTTGGGACAATAAATATTTGTACAAGAAACTGTGGGAAAGCACAGAACATAAGAAGAGAAATTTGATTACCTGAACAGCTCCATCTGAGAGCTAATGGAGGGGTTACTTTAATTGGCATAATCTACAGATTACCATAAGAGGAATGGTGGGGATAATCAGAATAATTATTTTCATGAAGGCAGCTATTGAATATGAAGTGCTTCACTGCAGCTAACTAATGAGATTGAGACTTAAAGGTTCAAAGTAATTGAATAAATATTTGTGAAGGAGTAAATAAGAAGTAGATAAAGGGCAAGGAAATAGATTTTGTGCTTTGAAAATCTCTTACCAGGCAATAGGCCAAATTCCACCTTCAATACTACAATTTTTTTATTCAGGTTTTAAAAACTTGCATATCATCTTCAGAAATGTGTGTTTTCTTCCGGATTTACAATATTTTGGTTTTATTTTTTAAATGCAACAGAATTTCTAGAAGAAATGTTAACTTGAACCAGTCCAAGTAAGGTCTGGCAAATGGGCAATTTGCACCTCAAATATTTTTTGATATTGCAAGATCACAAGACAAGACAAAATCCTACACATGGTGAGCATCATTGTATTAAAATGATCATAGTGCAACAAGATCACATCTATCGGAATAGGGTATTTTGTTAACTGGAAGCTTTAACAAACAGCAGCATTAACCTGAAGGCAAAGACCAAGTTATTCGGACAAGTCACTTTGTTTGCATGGAGTGTTAGCGCAGGACACGTGCATACCAGAACATATACAATACAACATTGTGGTACTGAAACACCAATCAGCAATAATTAAGTTCTCAGAAAGGTTCTGAAGTGGGGTGGGGGAAGAGAGATCACTAATAACTTCTGCTTGGGATTCATGATGCATTGAGTGGCAACACCTTGAGCATGCTGTTGACTCCTTTAACTACTGCTTAATTTTAATTGAGTCTCATACCACAAAAAGTTTATGATGTGGAGGTGCCAGTGCTGGAGTGGACAAAGCCAAAAATCACATGACACCAGGTTATAATCTAACAGGTTTATTTGAAAACACCAGCTTTCGGAGCTCTGCTCTTCCTCAGATGTAGTGTGGAAGAGGAGGTAGAATTCTGTGTCGGTATACCTCCTCTCTACACTACACCCGAGGAAGGAGCAGACCTCTGAAAGCTAGTGGTTTCAAACAAACCTGTTGGCCTATAACCTGGTGTCGTGTGATTTTTAACAAAATGTTTCATTCAAAACGCCAAAAAAATTGTTCATTCTAGTGTCATCATAAACTTCAAATTCCTTCTCATACATGTATCCACCTAAGCAGGGTGAGGAATGAAGTAGTATTAATCATTTAAGTTTTGGTCTAACTCAATACAAGTGCCACATGGATAACATATTACTGCTTAGTTTTTTTTATAAATATAATGTACATAAATACATTAACTAAAATTGTCAACAATAACGAGCTTTTGGGACAGACAATACATTATTTAGACACGCGGTAAATATTATATAGGTTAGATTTCCTGCTCAAATATTTATAATCTTGATTAAAATATTTGCACTTTGAAATGTGATATGTAGCTTTTTAGAATTAGGAATTTTCATCCATTATGTTTTTTGTTTAAAATGATCATCTAATTGTTGTGATGGAAGAATTAGGTCACAGCTGAAGGAGCAGATTTAAATCTTATCTCAATAATTGATATTTGGATTTTTCTAACAATTGGATTGGCTATTTGATGGGTTCAGTGCTTCGTCTTAGAGAGGTGGGCAAGAAATGAAACAGAGATTGTAAAATAGGCATCTGCAGAAATCTTTTTCAATCAAGTAAATGTGCCCAACAGCCAAGAAGTTTCCCAGGACCCCTAACCCAGTCCCTGCTTAATGAGGACCTCTAGTGACAACACATTTAAAACAACACATCACCTACTCAACTAGCATGTACTTTACATTGATTAGAACTTAATTGGCCAAGTGCATGTATTGATTTTTTTACCAATTAAAAATGAAATGCATCATTGAGAATGATGGAACATAGACCTCAAACAAATTTCCTGGAGTTATACCTCGCTAAATATTAAGATATAATAAAACCATTTATAAATGATGCCAAATTAAAACTATAATAATCCCTATAATTTTGTTAATTATTTCATGTGCAGGACACTAAAAACTCAGCTTCATTTTACTTGTGCTGCCCATACAACACCCAGATTTGCATTTCTGCCCATTTCTAATATTTATATAGTAAACTTACAATAAACTGTTCATTTGAACATTACAGTTTTTATCTTGCCAACTCTTCTACATTCCTTTAACCAAGGTAGCAATATTAGTTACCTTTAAGGAGAGTTACAAACAATACCCCTTTCCTTCCAAACAAATAGATCACAAAAAAATTCACCTCTCCAAAACAATACTACAAAGATGTCTTATATGCATCTTGTTTTAATGTTTCTTTTCTCTGAAAGGAAGAGCCCACCATATAGAAATGAAATAAATCTCCCTTTTCAAATCATAATACATTCAAGGGGAAGATAATCTTAAATCTAATGTTTACAATAATGGTCTAAAACTTGCTTACACAAGTAACTGTACACTATAACAAAGTGTACTCGGATTACACCCATTGCAGAGTTTGGACAGATGTGTAAAATCTTTAACAAAATTCTATAGCAGTGTTATTAAATTCTGAATGTTAATGTAAAGTTAGAAACTTCTAACATAAAAAGAAATGATATAAATTAATGAGACAATGTTTAAAAAAAACTTAGCAACTTTTAGGTTAAATATCATTGGCTCCAAATGCAATGGTAAACATATACATCAACATAAACTAGTATACTTCAAATATAAACAGCCAAGTATTAGTAAACAAAAGAACTGGCAGATGCTTTGCTTTCAGCTCATGACTGATCTTTGAATCATGCCTGAAGTAGTGTTCTATTTTGTCTCTTCCCTCTGCCCCACCCCCAGAAGCAGATGGGTGGGGGAAAAAATATCAGGATTACACAATACAACCACTGCAAAGCAGTAGGATTAATTGTCACCTTCTATCGCACATAAATTCAACACTGCATTCACACTCACTTATGAATGCCACAATGATGGTCTGCTTTTTTTCAAAACACGGACACAAAGTGCATGTCCTACCATAGGAGGAAGCAATGGCTGTTAGTTTTACAATTACAGTGGAAAGCGTCAATCACATTATTGAACATTGCAAGTAGTGGAGGTGGCCTGGCAACACATGCAGGTGGGGTTTACTGATTTTGGGGGAATAAGATCCAAATCTTCATCATCTGGAATTTCATCTAACCGATAGCCATCTTTCAGGAGCTGGATATTCAAGTCTTGATTAATCTGCTATAAAGAGAGAAAAATGTAAGCAACTTAATTGATATTTTATTGGTTTTGTGGAAAGACTTGTTAAATACTTTTTTTTAAGATCGGCACACAAAATCAAGAAAAAAAAAAAATGGATCTGGTGGTAACTTCCAACCCCGCCTCAGATCTTCCAAGTTGATTTGCAAACAGTAGGAAAAGCAATTTATAGAAGCTATTTGTTTCTCATCAAGAAAAGAAAGGAATGCTCACATTATACATTCTCCAGTCATAATACATGAAAATTATTGAGACAGCAGGTTATCTGCACTGAGGAGAACATGAATATTTACAAATTGAAGCTTTGTCGAAGACAAGTGTGACAGATTAGAAGGGCTGCTTTAAACAGAGAAGAAAAGATCCTCACATTGAGGTGGTGATTTTTGACTGCCAATTACATAAAAATAAGAGAAACTACACTGACATTAATGTCACCCACAGGACAAACTAAAACCAAGCCTGTGGTGTTGCAAAGTTTAATAGTTTTCAGGAGGGGCTCAGCGCTTCCTATTGCATAGATTTTCAAATTGAGCATCCTAGGAGGTCCAATCCTTTACTGAAAATTATGATCACGATGCTGGCCACAAAAAAAAAAACAGTAGTATTAGACTGTTTACTTGAATCTTTGGAATATTTAACCGTTACCAAGAAAATTAGGATACCAATGTTCTTTTGTGGAACTTGTCACTGAATTGTATAATCTTAAAACACAGAGGAAGCTATTCAGTCTACTATGGCTACTAGGTCGAATGGCTGTCTCTTTAGTCTCACTCTTCACAGAATCCCCACAGTGTGGAAACAGGTCATTCAGCCCAACAAGTCCATGCCGGCCCTCTGAAGAGAATCCCACCCAAACCCATCCCTCCACCCTATCCCTGTAACCCTGCATTTCCCATGACTAATGCACCGAACCTACACATCACTGAACGCTAAAGGCGATTTTAGCACGGCCAATCCATCTAACGTGCACATCTTTGGACAGTGGGAGGAAACCGGAGCATCCGGCGGAAACCTAAGCAGGCACAGGGAGAACGTGCAAACTCCAAACAGACAGTTGCCCGAGGTTGGAACTGAACCCAGATCCCTGACATTGAGAGGCAGCAGTGCTAACCACTGAGCAACGTGCCGTCCAGCTCAGTTTCCAAAGCCCTTCGATATTCTCATTTACTTATCTAATTCTTTTTGAAGATTTCTACTGAATCTACTATTTGTACACTTCCACGCAACATATTCCTGAACACAATGTCCTGCTTAAAAATCCTGTTTCTGCCTCTGGCTCATTTGCAAATTACCTTAAAATCTACATCTTCTAGTTACCAAATAGTCTAGCAGTGGAAATTGGTTTATCTTTTCCTGCTTTGGTGAAAATCATACACGAATGTAAGTCAAATTAGAATTTCAATTAGGCTTATTGTCAAATGTACTCAAGTACATGGATACAGGAGTACAGCAAAGTGTACAAGTCGCCATTTCCGGCGCCATCGTAGGTACAAAGATACCTCGGTACAAAACTTTAGGTATAAATGAGAAAAATGAAAAAAATAAAGTTAAATGTTCAGCATTACACAGTCTTTCTAAAGCAGATGGTCTATGCTGGGCTCCCTCGAGGAGGCTGGTGGTCTGTGCTGGGGTAAGGACAGAGGAGAAGGTGCTCACACCCCAAAATTATGGAGTCCTGAAGGCTGCAGGGTACCCAAGTGGAAAATAAGATACCATTCTTCCAGTTTGCACTCAGCTTCACACTTGAGGATATATAGTGAAGGTAACCGTGGGAGTCAATGAGTTTGTAGTGGATATTGGTGGTATATGAATTTCAGTGCTGTATGACACCAGGTATATAGATTGTACGTCCCAAAGATTGATGTATTGTATCATTTAACATATCCCTTCAGCTGTTCAGAACAAGCACTGACCATACCCAACTAGTATTTCTCAGGTGTCCAACATCAGATGTAATTCCACAATTGAATAACATTTGTTACATAATCCCAAATTTTCAAAGAATAACACTGACAACCAATGTTGGATTGCTAGTCGAATTCACAATACAGCACAATTACGTGTACTAGAAATTACATATTCATAGAATCATGTAGCACAGATGCAAACTTTTGACCCATCTAGTCTGCACTTAGAACTATTCTAAAACTACACTAGTCCAACTTTCCAGTACCCGGCCCATAGTCTTGAATACTATGACATTTCAAGTGCTTACCCAGTAATTTTTTGAAGGTGTGAGGTCTCCTGCCCTACCAGGCAATGCATTCCAGATTCTCACTACCCTCTGGGTGAAAAAATAACATTTCCTCAAATCCCATCTAAACCTCCCGCCTTTCCCCTTTAAATTATGTCTCTTTGTTAGTGATCCTTCAACTATAGGAACAGCTGCCTCATATCTACTCTGCCCATGCCCCTCAATTTTGGACACAATTAGGACCCTTCTCAGACTTCTCTCCTTAAAAGAAAACAACCTGTTTTAACTCAATAAAATAGGTTGCTAGGTAATTTCTGACTACAATTTTCTAAAAAATTCAGTCAATCTGCTAGGTTTAAAATTTAAACTAAGTTGAACAGTTAACTGTTAATCAGAATTAATAGGTACATTCTCCATGGCAACATCTTCAAAGTTCACTTGTTAATCAATCAGTACCTTTCTCATGCACTATGAATATTGGTTTTATCTGGCATTCATATTCTTGTAAATTGGCTTGTACAAGTAAAAAAGGATTCGACAAAATGCGTCAATTTCAGCAAAATACATGGTTCTGTGTTATCAAATGGCTTTAATTGAACATTAAATGGCTTTAATGTTCTTTCGAGTGAAGGAGCCACACTGGTCTCTTTCTATTCTACTGACATCTTTCTGTTCGCTGATCATTCAAAATGACTGTTGAAAGCTCCTAACTCATCTTGTTTATTTGAGCAGCAAGATAAATGATTTATTTGCTTTTATGTCATTTGAACCTGCTTAAGGCATCCATGAAATTTAAGTTTATGTTTTGACATTGGAGGGTGAGAGTTTTGGAAGTATTCTGCTGGTGTAGCATTTGGAGGATGACAGAAAGATGGAATTCAAAGAAAATCCGAAATAGTTAGACAGAATAGTGGCTCAAGGCAGTTGGATCCACAAGTTCTGGAAAATGGAAAGTGACCAAAATAATGATCAAACCAGTCAGTTTAACAGGGGTTGTGGGGAAACTTCAAGAATCAATAATTTGTGATAGAATTAATAGTCTCATGAACATACATTGATTGATTAGGGAAGGCCAGCAAAGATTTCTTGAGGGAAAGTTGATTTTAACTATCTTGCTGGAGTTCTAGGAAGAGATTTCAGAGGCTTGATGAAGGAATGCTGTTGATGTGGTGACATGGACTTACAAAAAATCTTTTGACACAGTGCTGCATGACAGACATGTGAGAAAAGTTAGAGCTTGTGGAATGGGTAGACAAAATTGACAGAGCGATTGGAACAGAAAGCAGTGGTTAATGGATTTTTGTTTGGGCTAGAGTAAGATTTGTCATGGAGTTCCTCATGGATCAGTATTGGGACTTTTGCTTTACTGATTTACATTAATGATATAGATCTTGGAGTTTCATGGGACAATTTCAAGGTTTAGGGACAGTACACAATTTGTAAGCATTGTAACATTATGAGGAGGACAGTGTAGAACTTCAAAAATAATTTAGCAAGTTAGTTGACTGGGCATTTGGTGACAGATAAAATTCTATGTGGAGAGGTGTGAACTGGCATTTTTTGGTAGAAAGAACATTGAGAGACAATATAACAAAAGGTACTATTCTAAAGTGTACACATGAGCAGACAGATCAGGAGTAAAGTGCACAAATCACTGCAGCTAAAAGACTATATTGAACTTGTAGAAGACACCAAGCAAACTTCAACAGGAATACTGCTTGTAGGTCTGGGTGATAGGCATTTACGAGGACAGTTCCAGGAATAAGAAACTTGAGTTACGAAGATAGGTTGGAGGAATTGGGAGTGTTTTCCTCAGTGAGAAGGATAAGAGGATAAGATAGAGGTTTTCAAAATCATAAGTGGGCTGGAAGGAGCTGATAGGAAGAAACTGCTCCCATTTCCACATTTTTCCTCTCAGGTGGTCAAGTGTTGTTGGAATTCCCTTCCTCAAAAGGCAGCACATGCAGAACCTTTATAAAAAATAAGGCAGAAGTAGACAGATTCTTGATTACCAAGAGGATGGAAGATTATCAGGGATATGTAGGAATATAAAGTTGACGTTAAAATCAGATCAGCAATGATCTTAGTGAATGGCAGAGCAGGCTTGAAGGGCTGAATGGCTTATTTTTGTTCCCTATTCATAACCATAAAAGGATCAATAAGAGGGCAGAATTTAAAATAATTTGCAAAAGAAACAAATGCGATGTAAGAAAAACTTTTACACAGTGAATAGTTATGGTCTGAAGTGTGATGACAGAAGGTTCATTGAGGAATTCAAGAATATATCAGATGATGGCAGAGTAGCAGCACAACTTTCGGGCTCCTCAGCTCTGCAGCCCAGACCTCGTCCACTCCATCCACTTTCTTTTTCCTTTCTATGCTTACTTTTTAATGTCTCTAATCATTATGATACTCTACTTTCTTTTAAAGATTTGGGCAGAAGGTGTCTTCTCCTGGCTCAGGCCCAATGACAAGGTCGCTTCCAACAAGCCAGAATGGCAGTAAAGACATGGTACCTGGCAGGGTTGTTTCGTGGTGTGGTAGCCTAGTCCAGGAGGGGTGTCTTGGCCTGGCATGGAGGTCCTGTCCTGTCGTGGAGGTCTTCTTTGGCCGTTTCTGGGTATTCCAGCAGTCAAGTATGAAGGTCTAGCCCTGGAGTGGAGGTTTCATCCTTGCTTTGGAGGCAGCTTCCAACAGCCCAGTTTGGTGGTCTTGGCCCAGCATTGCAGTTTCAGCTTGGTTTTCCAGTGTACCCAGAAGCCAGGAGACGTTAATTGAATTGTGATGAATTTTTACCTTTTTTCTTCTTGTTTCTGAATTCTGTCATTAATTTGGGCACTGTGGTGTGGCAGCTTGTAAAGCTTTTCACTTTCTTTTGTAAAAATACACATGACAGTAAATTACTATTCTATTCTTTCATTGTAATCTCCTGATGTTGAGAACAGAAAGACAACTGAAGTTGCAAAGCTCGTTGCACCAGATGCTATGGGAGTAGAAGGCCCATATTATGGTGAATAACTGCACAACGTGGTCAAATAAAGAATAAAACACCAGATTCCTGTCAAACTACAAGAAAGAAATTTATTGAGCTGAGCAGCAGGTATCAAGAGTCAGGTAAAAAGCCACTAAATAAACTGATGCAATGGATCAAACAATAATAAAGACGACATAGTGTCATATACGAAGACTAACTTAGAAGACTGAATAAAAGACGTAACTGTTAAATGAATTTATATGCAATTCAACAGCAATGGTTTTTATACATTTTCTTAACCCTTGCCCTTTCTTTTGTTGAGATATCACTGTACAAAGAACTCACCTCAGCTGAAGAATAACCTGATGAAGAGTATCTTGACATATCAAAGTCATCATCACTGCAAGAAAATAGAAAGACGTTTTACTTTTCAAACAACTGTAGCAGGTCTTCAGACTTCTCTATAATATTTGCATGTTCTAATATAGACTTGATAGCATGCAGTGTTTTAGTTTTGAGGCAAGAGGCAATTAGAGTTTAATTCTGCTGAAGCAACAGCACTTTTTTGAAAACAGATACTTATAATGGCTAGATGCTAGTTTGAAATGGTCATGGTGAAAACTGGTTTCACAAAGATGAATTCCGTAAAAGCAGCCATGCAAGATCAAGTCTATTTTTCTCCCTATTTTGCAGGGAATAGGACAGCACTCAATGTGTTGCAATGGACTTTTAGAATTATATTATTAAGACAAGTGTCTTGATTTCTACAAAGCGAAATCTGGATCAGCATTGGAGACGGTGAAGCCATTTCTAGAGTTGTCTAACTACAAGTCAAATATTCACGACTGGAATTTGGCACTGGGCAGCACTACTGAAGATACCTTTTATCGGACTGGTCACTGTGGCTGCAGTATGGCTACAATACTGGTGAGAAAGTCGGTGTTCTGTGGCATAAAACTCACCTCTAACTCCCAGATTTGTTACTATCATCTATGAGACACATCAGGTATGTGTTGAATATCCTCCCTTGAATGGATAAGTGAGGCTCCAACAAAAATAAGTCTAACACTACCCACTTTATTGGCAGCTAACCACCATCTTAAATATTTACTCCCTCTAACACTGGATACTATGGCTCTAAAGTGCACCATCTACAAGGTGCTGCAACTTGTGAAGGCTCCTTCAACAGCGGTTCCCAAGGCTACAACCTTTACTGCCTAGAAGGTAATGGCAGAGATCAATAAGAACAATACTATGAAGTTCCTTCCCAGGCGACACACAGTTCTGAGTTGGAAAGGTAAAAATCTGATTGTCTGGATCTACAGGGGGATGCAAGAAAGATCAGGCACTGATTTCAGAGACAACCTTGTAGAAGCTGTTTTTGCAGCAATAATGAACATGGATAGAAAGATTGATTTTTTTTTTTTTAAAAGAATGTAATTGATGTTAGGTTGATGTTAGGAAGGAGGACTTGCTAGAAATTTTGAAAAACATGAGGATAGATAAGTCCCCTGGGCCAGACAGGATATACCCAAGGTTACTATGGAAAGTGAGGGAAGAGATTGCTGCGCCTTTGGCGATGATCTTTGCGTCCTCACTGTCCACTGGGATAGTACCTGATGATTGGAGGGTGGCAAATGTTATTCTCTTGTTCAAGAAAGGGAATAGGCATAATCCTGGGAATTACAGACCAGTCAGTCTTAATTCTGCAGTGGGCAAATTATTGGAGAAGATTCTGAGATATAGTATTTATGATTATTTGGAAAAGCACAGTTTGATTAGAAATAGTCAGCATGGCTTTGAGAGGGGCAGGTCATGTCTCACAAGCCTTACTGAATTCTTTGAGGATGTGACAAAACACATTGATGAGGGTCGAACCGTGGATGTGGTGTATATAGATTTTAGCAAGGCATTTGATAAGGTTCCCCACGGTAGGCTCATTCAGAAAGTAATGAGGCATGGGATTCAGGGAAATGTGGCTGTTTGGATACAGCACTGGCTGTCCAATAAAAGACAGAGGGTGGTAGTAGATGGAAAGTATTCAGCTTGGAGTTCGGTGACCACTGGTGTTCCACAGGGATCTGTTCTGGGACCTCTGCTCTTTGTAAGTGACTTGGATGAGGATGTGGAAGGGTGGGTTAGTAAGTTTGCTGATGACACAAAGGTTGATGGAGTTGTAGATAGTGCAGCTGGCTGTTATAGGTTGCAACGGGACATTGACAGGATGCAGAGCTGGGAAAAGAAGTGGCAGATGGAATTCAACCTGGAAAAAAGTGTGACGTGATTCATTTTGGAAGGTCGAATTTGAATGCAGAATACAGGGTTAATGGCAGGATTCTTGGCAGTGTGGAGGAACAGAGGGATCTTGGTGTCCACGTCCATAGATCCCTCGAAGTTGCTACCCAAGTTGATAGGGTTGTTAAGGTGGCATATGGTGTGTTGGCTTTCACTGGCAGGGGAATTGAGTTTAAGAGCCGCGAGGTTACGCTGCAGCTCTTTCAAACCCTGGTTAGACCACACTTGGAATATTGTGTTCAGTTCTAGTCGCCTCATTATAAGAAGGATGTGGAAGCTTCAGAAAGGGTGCAGAGGAGATTTGTCAGGATGCTGCCTGGACTGGAGGGCAGGTCTTATGAGGAAAGTTGAGGGAGCTAGGGCTTTTCTCATTGGAGTGAAGAAGGATGAGAGGTGACTTGATAAAGGTGTAGAAGGTGATGAGAGGCGTACAAGGTGATGAGAAGCATAAATAGAATGGATAGTCAGAGACCTTATCTCAGGGCAGAAATGACTATTACGAGGGAGTATAATTTTAAGGTGATTGGAGGAAGGTATAGGGGAGATGTCAGAGGTAGGCTCTTTACACAGAGAATGGTGGGTGCGTGGAATGCGCTTCCGGTGGTGGCAGTGGAGTCAGATACATTAGGGACATTTAAGCGACTCTTGGATAGGCACATGGATGATAGTAAAATGTAGTGTATGCAGGGTACTTTGATCTTAAGAGTAGGATAATAGGTCGACACAACATTGTGGGCCGAAGGGCCTGTACTGTAATGTTCTATGTTCTATGACACCTTTGGAAAGGGGAAGTTGAGAGATAGAGAGAAACAAAGAGAGAAGAACTCCACGGGAATTGGATTGAGGAAAGTTAGAGGAAAATATGTACGAGATGAGTTAGAGACAGTGGAGAAAAATGGGTAGGAATTTATTAAAAAAATGAAACTTCAAGCACTGTGTGTGGTTCAGTGATAAAAGGAGGGAGAAAGGTTTCAGTAGTTCAGATCCTATTTTGGAGATGAATAAATCCATGAACTTGTGCAGTGAGAGGGGCATGGGTTTAAGGAAATGGTCGGTAGCAACTAAAAGGAACCTGTGATTGTATATTGGATAAATATAAAATAGAAGGTTTTTTTAAAATTTGATTTGATTTGATTTATTATTGTCACATGCACTGAAATACAGTGAAAAGTATTGTTTTTTTGGCAATGGACAGCAAGGCCCAGCAAAATTTGATATAGTTGAATCAGATTTTGTGTTGAATGGCTAAATGTATGAAATTCAGCATTTTAAAACTGCAATGACCTCCGGCTTCCTCAAAGAGCACGGGTAGGAAAGGTGCGTGAACGCCATAATCTTCACGTTCCACACCGTTCTAAACCATACAGTGCCATTCTTTTGTGATTTTCTGATTCAAAATCCTGAAGCTCCCCAGTCAACAGAGGGTTTCAGTATCACTACCATATCAGCTGCAATGATTCAAGGTAGTTTAGAAAGGCAAAAAAATTTCTCCTTTAGAAACATGGAAGATAGGAGCAGGAGTAAGCTATTGGACCTCTCGAGCCTACTCTTCCATTTTATAGGATTATGGCTGATCATTGAGTTCAATGCCCAAGTCACATCCTCCCCACATATCCCTTGACCCTTCAGCCACAATAGCTAAATCTACCTCCTTTTGAAAACACAATGTTTTGGCCTCAACTACTGCCTGTGATAGGGAATTCCTCGGACTCACCACCATCTGGGTGAAGAAATTTCTTCTATATAAACATAGAAGGATGAGCAATAAATGATGGCTTTGTCTTTATTATAAGGCATTTTGATCCTGATAGATATGTCTACAAGGCAGCAGAAAGAGTAAAAGAAAATCAAATCAAAAAATGTTTCACGTTATAAGCTTTTGCTGATGACTTTAGACCTTTAATCTTTAGACTTTTAAAATCTAATTTGAAAAAGGTAATTACATGAAGAAAAGATCAGTGAAAGAACATACCTGTCAGTATCCAAAGCAACCAAAGGTTTTTCATCTGGGCTTTGATCTAGTGATGAATATCCTTTGTTTGGTACAACCAACCTGTCAAAATTACAAATTGCCATTCATCGACTTGCTCTTGTACATTTTATCCAACTTAGTTTTTCAATGCAAAATGTCCCTTTTTTAAAACTTTTAACTTTGTGCTCTTGTGAAGTTTGGGAGCCAATGAATGCATTTGTTGCTAGCCCACGAACTGAATGACTTTTTAACTCCTTTCAGAAAACAATTAATAATATGCCATAGATA